GTGAGGGTATCGAGAAAATATATTTATATTAGTAAATTGATAGAATTAGTAGAATTAATAGAATTAATAAAATAATAAAAGAAAATAATTATATAAATAGATGAAAGGATTATTATTCGATCTCAAACGCGTTTAATATAATTACAATATTTAAATATTAGTTTAACTATCTATCGCTACTAAAAAAATATAAAAACATATCGTTTAGACTTTTTAAAGGCTTTTAATGCGTTTATAAGTAGTAGTAGATAGCTATTAAACCACTACAACCTCGATTATTAATAATAGTAAATTTATTAAGAGATAACTTAAAGGCGTTAATAAGAAGCCTAATTAACGAGGGATAAAAACAAATATTTATATTAGTAAAATTAATAAAATTAATAGAATTAATAAAATAATAAAAAAAATAAATAGGTGAAAGGATAATTGATTTCGAACGCGACTATATAACTATTATATTTAAATATTTATTTAATTCATTAATAGTAAATTAAACTTTATAATTTTTATAGCGTTAGAAAGCAAAGCGAGCTCTATAATTAAGAAATTATAAAGTAACTATATATATCATAAACTGAGTACTTTAAAGTATAAAACTCTATATATAAATTTTTAATAAGAAACTTAAAAGAACTATTAGATTAACTACCGGCCTAACTAAAAGCGAAAACCCGAATTATAATTAACTACACATATAAATTCAAGATTTCAAGCTTAATTCTATTTTATTCTTTTATATATACTAATTAATACTATTAAGATAAATAAAATTAATTAACGCTATATCGACTCTTTTAAAATTATTATTAAAGTAAATAAGTAAGCGTATTACCTCGATATATCTAATTATTAAAGAGTTTATTCTATATTCTCGATAGTATAGCTAGAATTATAGCCTACTAGCACTAACTCTTTCTATAAATTACTATCGAAGAAATCTAATTCTATTTACGTGAAAGGCGATACTAATAACTATAAGTTATATAAGCTATAATTCTTACTTAATAAGCGTATTAGATATTATAATAAGAGTTATTTAATTAAATATCTAGTACGTTAAAAAGGATATAGCTTTAAATACGATTAATAATATAATATTAAGTAGCTAGACGCTACTTCGAAATTAGTAAAAGACTACGAGATTTCTATATTCCCTCTATTAGAGCTACTTATTACTATACTACTAGAGCTACTATCTTCTCTATTAATAACGTATTTATAAAAGTCTTTCGTAATCGATTATACGATTATACTATTAATATCTTCGCTACTAGAGTTACTATCTTCGCTATTAAAGCTATTATCTTCGCTATTAATAATATTATAAAAGTCTTTCGTAATTAAATCTTCGAAGTCTATTACGAAGCGAGCTATTACGGTTATAATTTCTAAGAGAAAGAAATTAATCATATAAGAGCTTACTATTATATCTACTTACTTTATAATACTCTTTACTTATATATATATTAATATTATTATACTTCTAATTAAAGAAATTTTAATATAGTAAGCTATTATAATTATATAGATATATAATTTTACTATATCTTTATATCTATTATAAAGATACTTTAATAAGAATCTTAACTTAGTCTTATAAGTAGTTACTTCTTAATAGAAGAATATTATCTTTATTATATATTACTTATTATATTAATATCTTTATATTACTCTTATAGCGATAGCTCTAATAAAAAAATAAATATATATTATTTAAATTTAAAATAACTTTTTTATTTTCTATTAAAATTTTAAGATTCTTCTTTTAAATTATAAATCGTAATATAGGCTTTTAAATAAAAAAGAATAATTAAATTTAATCTTATAGATATTTAAAGATATAACATTTAAATATCGCCTATTAAAAGTTCGCTCGATAGCCCTAATTAAAAAATAGATGTATATTATTTAATTTTAGAATAACTTTTTTATTTTCTATTAAAATTTTGAAATTTTTTTAAAATTATAGAACGTAAAATGGGCTTTTAAATAAAAAAAGGATTTTAAAGTTTAGTCTTATAGTTCTTTAAAGATAAGAAATTTAAATATCGCTTACTAAAGATCGCTTATTAAAGATCGCTCTTTAAAGATCGCTTACTAAAGATCGCTTATTAAAGATCGCTTATCAAAGATCGCTTATTAAAGATCGCTTATTAAATTTACTCGATAGCTTTAATTAATAAAAAATGATTATAAATTTAATTTATAAATCTTTACTCGTATTAATATAATAAATTTATTAAATCTCTCTATTAAAGAATTAAATATTATTATTATTTATTATAAAGTTTATTTAATAAAACTTATATATATAATATAATATATAGATATTAATTATTATATCTTTTTAATATAAATTTAAAATATTTTTTAATATTTTATAATATTCTTTATAATTATATCTTTTATATTAAATCTATTATTATTATTTTATTAATTTAAATATTATAAGTAAAGGCCTATGAATTAAATTTATAAAGTTAGATTTTTCTAAGTGAAATGAAATTTTAGTTCTAGCTCTAAGTTACATCGAACTCTAATCGCTTACTATACGTTTTTAATCTACTTTCATTACTATAAAATTAATTTAATCTATATAATATATAGATATATATGTATGAAGAGAGGCGCGCTAAGGTTTAATTAGGAAGATATATTAAGTATAGAGAATTAATCCGTAATAATTACCTATAAAAAATAGAGAAAGACTATGTTTTTATGGTAAGAAGTATCGAAATATTGGAAAGAAATAGAGATAATATACTAATTAGTGGTGTGAATCCCATATTATCTCCTGCCGTAGTGAAATCTTTCGAATAATAAAATAGCTGTTAGAGTAAGATATTGGACGATTTTAATTCGTCTAAATATGTATCGTCCGATATTCCTTCTGTAGAGGCCTAATTGGCTATGATCGTCGCAGTAGATCCTCCTCTTGTGACGTTATTGTAGTTCCTCCTCTTGCTTCTTAATGTAGTGGGGATGATAGGCCAAGTTGTAGTGGTGTTCTCCGCTTGCTGAGTGATGATTTGATGTGGAACCGTGGAGAGCATGTGACGTGGGATCTTGGAGAGCTGAGCCGTGTTCTTGGTGCTGGGGGCCTTGTTGCCGCTTGGTTTCTCCGTAGTGTTCTCCGCATTTGCCTGTTGTAGTTTCTTCTCTTGCTCCTTCTCTTGTAGGGAGAGTATTAGATTGAGTGGTTAGCTGAGTGGCTGATTGAGTGGATGACTGATATGACGTGGGATCTTGGAGAGCTGAGCCGTGTTCTTGACGATGGTGGCCTTGTTGCCGCTTGGTTTCTCCGCAGTGTTCTCCGTAGTGTTCTCCGCAGTGTTCTCCGTATTTGCCTGTTGTAGTTCCTCCTCTTACTCCTTAATGTAGTGGGGATGATAGGCCAAGTTGCAATAGTGTTCTCCGCTTGCTGAGTGATGATTTGATGTGGAACTGTGGAGAGCATATGACGTGAGATCTTGGAGAGCTGAGCCGTGTTCTTAGTGCTGAGGGCCTTATTGCCGCTTAGTTTCTCCGCAGTATTCTCCGCATTTACCTATTGTAGTTCCTCCTCTTACTCCTTCTCTTATAGAGTATCAGACTAAGTAACTAGCTGAGTGGCTGACTAAGTGGATAACTGATATAACGTGAGATCTTAGAGAGCTGAGCCGTGTTCTTGATGATGGTAGCCTTGTTGCCGCTTGATTTCTCCGCAGTATTCTCCGCATTTACCTATTATAGTTCCTCCTCTTACTCCTCCTCTTATAGAGTATTAGACTAAGTAACTAGCTAAGTAGCTAACTAAGTAAATAATTAAGTAACTAACTAAGGATCTAACTAAGTAAATTACTAAGCTAATAGAATAGATAATATTAATTAAGCGGCTAGTCGAGTATTACTAGCTTAAGAGTATATAGAGAAAGACGATAACTATAAATTCGTTCGGGCTCTTTTAGTCTTTTAACGCGTTTATAAGTAGTAGTAGATAGCTATTAGACTCGCTTACGGCCTCGATTACTAGTAGTAGCGAATTCGCCGAGAAATAATCTAGCTGAGAACGTTAATAGAGGCTCTAAGAACGGGTAAAAGAGATATATATATCTAAAGCGTTTAGTAACGTTTCCGCGAGAGGTATCGAGAACGATTATATTTATATTAGTGAAATTAATAGAATTAATAGAATAATAAAAGAATAATAGTTATATAAATAAATAGATGAAAGGATTATTATTCGATCTCGAACGCGTTTAATAATAGATTAAGGATATTAATAGATTAATCGATATTCGACTAAGTAAAAGAACTTATTAATGTTCTCGCTCTATTAAAGAACTTACTTCTAGATTATACGAGTATACTTAAATATCTATTTAATTCATTAAAAGTAGACTAAACTTTATAATTTTTATATCGTTAGAAAGCGTAAACTGAGCTTTATAATTTACGAAATTATAAAGTAACTATATCTATCGTAAGCTAAGTATCTTAAAGTATAAGATTTCTATATATAAAATTTTAATAAGAAGTTATAAGAGGGCTATCGAACTAACTTAGTCGATCTAATTAAAGAGCGTAATAATTCTAAATTAATAATTAGCTATATATATAAATTTAAGATTTTATAGCTTAGTTCTATCTTATTCTTTTATATATACTAATAAATCGAGAAGATTTAAAAAATAAAAATAAAAATATTTTAATATAGAAGTTTTAATAATAATAAAATTATATATTAATATTATATCGAAAATATCGAATTTAAGATAACGTAACGAGTATAATGTAAATAAAGGTAGATACGATTATATCTAGCTAAAGTTGCTTAGATAAGCATAAGCCCTTGCCTGCTTCCACAACGTTGGCATCACGTCCGCAGAGCCGCGGTGAAGCTCAGCCCTATTCCGCGGGTCGAATATTATGTAGGTGAACAACAATTCCTTCCCACGCCTTCTCTTCACATTCCCGCTTATCCGCACCTGTCTTCATTCTCTATTCAACTGGTATCTATGACTACTTTGGAAGAAGTCGACATTTGTAGCTGGGCATCTGGGGTGGCAACTTCACTTGATGCTTCGTCAGACTCTGAAACCCAAGCCACCCCAACCAAAATCACTCATAAACGCAAGAGAATCGACGACTACTACGACTCTTCAAGACAACACTTACGTCGCCCTGGTCCTTCCAGCCATATAGCTCTTGCTGAACGCTCACCCAGCACAATGAATACGCCTTCATCGCCGCAGACGCGAGATGCCCAGCACACTCAGGTGAGTGAGGTATCACAATCCTTGATTTATTCTATTTCGATGCTGAAAAACCCTTATCTCTAGCCAGTCACCCCGCAAACAAACACAACGAAGTCTTCCTACAACCTTCGCTCTCGTCCTCCCACCTCTACATCCTCTTCCTCCGATGCCAAACAAACAGTCAACGAAGCCACTATACGCACGAATGCAGCAGGGCAAGGCATGTACTTCGAAGATGAAGCGGCGTTCCAAAAATACTCAGACTTCGCAGCCAGCATAGAGAATATGGTGTCTGGATCCAGAGACTCGATAATGCGCGACGAGTCGATCAAAACGTTTAAGGATTACAGGGCGGCCAATACCACCAAGAATGAGAAGACGCTCTTTGGTAATCTTGTCCCACTAATAGTGAAACCGGCGAGGAGTGTTAAGACAGCCAAGCGCACATTCGAGGACGAGCTTAAATTCCAAGTTAAAACCTTCGAGTCGGACGGTCTAGACCATCTAGAAGACCAACTCTTTGTCAAAAATATACTCCCTCTTCTCAACCCCGCAGACGCTACTCAGCAAGGTCTTACCACCGCGAAGCCTGATTATGTCTATGGTCTCAAATATCCGCAATTCCCAGATCTGAGAAAACCGCGGCTGAGCGCCAACACGGAAGCTCTCATCGGTATCGCGCCGGGGCTAAGACACGCATTTTGTTCGGCGGATTTCAAGGGCTGTCAGCATAGCATTGAAGCCGCGGAGAACCAGTCCCAGCGGTCTGGAGCTACAATGGTTGCGGCCAGACGGGCTCTGAATAGAAAAGCCAAAGGCCAGCTCGAGCCTGCCATGCCCAAGGACCGTGCTGCGGCTACTAAAGCTGTTGCTACCGACGCTACCGCGATCGATGCTACCGTTACCGCTGCTCATACTACAATCAATACTAGCGCGCTTGGGCCGCAGCCGAACGAGATTAGCCAAGAAGATCTTGGTGCGGACACGAGCTCATACGCCTTCACCATCAGCTGGTCCACACATGTGGCCAAGATCCACGTCCATTGGTGTGAAGTCCGCACCAAAGAGATCGTGATCTACCATATGAATGTGGTCGGCTGTTATCTGATGACTAGAGATAAAGATCTGACGGACTTTCGGAGTCACATACATAATATTCTCGACTGGGGTGTCGGTCCTAAGCGCAAGAGGGAGTTGAACGAGTTGGAGAGTGAGGTCGCCAAGCACGAGAGCGGAGGTGGTTAGTGGGCAAATAGACTCTATTAGGTTGAGACATTGCCAGGCTCAAAGAAGTATCCCTTGATATGCGCTCTGTGGAGACTCCATCAAAACCTTGCATGCCAGCAAGACGCTTTCGCTGAATTATGTAAAGACTTCTCTCGCGAGGTCATTTCCATCGGAGATGCAAAGCAGACCAGACAAGACGCGGTATTATACGCACAGAGCATCGGATGATATAATAGTTTGATGAGAAGGTGTGCTACATGAATATGGTGCTTCTAAATATTACGAGCGTACCCTTGACACACCACTCAGCCCTATAGCCATTTGCCTTGGCGGAGACATCTCCTACTATATTATGTCTCTTTCCTATACACATAGTTCGATAGCCTTATTATTCTATCTATCTCGTCTATATTAATATTATATCTATACTAGTTCTAATATTATAATAAGACTTCTTTATATACTCTCTCGACGAAGAAAATTAACGAGTTTTTTACTTTCTATTAAAAGTAAGTAATCGAGTCTAATAAAGAAAACGCTAGATATTTCTATTATATAAAAGCTCTTATATATACTATTCGAAAGAATTTATATTAGAAAATCTATATTATTAACGATAGTTTAATTTATTAAAAAACGACTTCCCTATATCGAATATTAAAAATTCTTCTTCGCTTCGTTTCTTATAAAGAATCTATAATCGAATAATAAATTATCTATGAAATTTCTACTATTCGAAAGGATATTATTTAGAATACTTATAATTCTTATAGCGATTTAATTAATTAAAAAACGAGTATTATAAATTTTCGCGAAGAAATTATATTATTTCGAATATTATAATTAAATTTTAACTCTTAATATAAAGATCTATTATCTTTTTTAACTCGTATATATCTTTATAAAATTAAAAATCTAGAAATCTCTCTATTTTACTCGATAAAGATATTATTTAATATTTATAATAAAATTTTATAAAAAGTCTAATTAAAATTCTTATTTTTATATCTATTTTCTTTACTTCGTTCTTATCTATATTTAATATATTATAAGTTCTTACTTAAATTCACCTATATTAATATTAAGATATCTTTCTTTATATTATTAATTATTTATATATCGTAATTAGTCTTATCTTATATATAATAATTTATATAGAAGATACTTATCTTCTAACTCGTTATTTCTTTATATATTATATATATAATAATCTCTATCTATTAAAAATCTCTATTAGCGATATTATAAAATATTAAGTTAACTAGAGAAGAATTAAACTTAAGAATTCGAGATATAAGACTAAAACTCGTCTAATATCTCCGCTTCGTCTTTACTTTCTTTCTTATTTTATATTAATTAAGAGAAGATATTAGAATAATAAGAGAAGATATAGAGTTAAAACTCGACTAATATCTCTACTCTTTTATCTTCATCTCTATCTTTATTTAATTTATAAGATTTCGAGATATTTAAACTTAATCGATATCGATTAATCTCGCTATAGCGTATAATTAGATAGTTATTTAACCCGAGATTATCGAATTATCTCTATTTAACGCTATTAATAAATTTAAATTTAAGAATTAAAAAATAAGAATTATAGATAAACTTAATCTTAATAAAGATTACTTTTCTATTAACGATCTTTAGATAAACTATATTATATCTCGTCTTAGAGAGAAGACTATCGAGTATACGATATCTAGATTTTAAACGATTATAAAAAATTCTTATCTTTTAATTAACGACCTCCTAAATTAACTAAGTAATCTTTATAAGACTTTTTTAAATATTATTCGATAAAGAAATATTTATAACTATTTAATTTTTAGAAAGTATAATAATTAGTTATTTTTTACGTATTATATTATAAGATAGTAAGATTTCTTTTTAATAAAACTACGTAATAGCTAGATAATTATAAGATTTAAAAGCGTAGTTATAAGAATAAATAGATTAGTTACTAGATAAACTAATAATTAAAGAAAGAAGAAGAGAAAAAGAGAACTCGCGAGTATTTAAGATTTTTATTAAGTATATTAAATACTCGTTTTAATTATATAGCTTATAATCTAGTAAACGATATAAGCGAGATTTATTAATTAACTCTAAGTATTTCTATTTTTATAATTACTTTTTTTCTTAAAAGATTTAATCTCTAAATCTTATTATTATTATATCTTATAATTAAATATTTATAAACTTATTAGTTTTATATACGTTATGAATTACTAACTTAAATATAATTTAAATTAATATATATTATAATAGCGTATTCGAATTATTTATTCTACGATCTTTTTAAATATATTAATATATTAATATATTAAATCGAAATAATATAGCTATATTTATTTTTAATTTAATTAATATAATATAAGTATATTATTATATTATTATAATATTTTATTATTACTATTATTATATATTATTATTATTATTATTACTTTATAATTATTATAATTCTATTATTATAATTATTTAAAGTCGCGTTAATAAATATAAAGTCTTATTTTATTCTAACTTTTTATTCTTTTTAATAATAATAATAGTATTATTATTATTAATAAATACTAAGTCTTACTTTATATTTATTACTTTATATTTATTCTTTCTTATCGTAATATCGCGATAGTATTATAAACTTCTCTATAGAGATCTATATCGAAAGTTCTATACTCGTATTAATATAGTCTTAATTCTACTTTTAAAAAGCGATTTTATAGAGGAAAAGTTTAGAAATATCTTTTTATAGCGTATAGATAAGACTTTAAATACTTTTTTTAACTTAATAAAGATATTAAGTTATAAAATCTAGCTAGAGCTAGATATAATTTTAAAGAACTTTAAATATATTATCTAGGTAGTTCTTTAAATAAAGCGTTATTCGAAGTCTAAGCGTAAGAGTCTTAGCGAGTATAGAACTTTCGATATAAATCTCTATACTAGGCGTTTCGATTAAGCTTAATATCTTATTACTATAATACTATAGAAACTTCTTCTATTATAAATCATCTATAATTCATATAATTATTATATTATATATATTTTATTTATATATATAATTTTACTTAGAACTATCTCTTAATAGATAGCGAGTTATATATTATTCTATTATTATATTATATTTATTAATTAAGATAGTAATTAAATAAAAGTAAATTCGTTTAACTAGATTAACTTTATATATAATAAGTATTTTAAAAGATACTCTATAGTACTTTTTAAATAATATAAAGAGTATATTAATATATTAATATTTTTTTTAATATAATCTTTATTCGCGTAATCTTACGAGCTATTAAATTAATAGATTAATATATAATAATATAAGACTTTTAACTTTTAGATATAGCTATAATTATTATTATTTCTATTATCTCTTTTATTATAACCTTTACTTTTCTTTATAAATAAAGAAGATATTAGATAACTAAGAGATTATATTAATATATATAAGAATCTCGTCTATATATATTATATACGTATTCTCGCGAGTAACTCTTATATAATCTACGCTATTTCGTTTATTAATTTACGTTAAAATAAATATAGATAATACTTATATAAAGATTATCTTTATAATAATAATAAGAATCTATAATCGTAATATATAATAAGCTTAATTATTTCTATCTAGAAATCTACTATTTATAATAATAAGTTAGTAAGCTTAGCGAGATATCTACTTAATAGATCTATTTGCTTAGTAAAGTAAGTATCTTCTTATATTTTTATAATAGTATCTCTATAGATAAGAAGAAAGTATAGCGACCTCGCTAAAATAAATTGGAGGAAAACTTATTCTCGAAGAATATTTATTCTTAAAGAAATCTTATATAGAAAACTCTAAAATCTTATAATCTTAATTATTAACTATTCTTCTACTTCTTTATAGAAGTACTATAATATTATAATCTAAAGCGTCTAGATTCTAAGAAATAGCGTTATTTTAACGAGATTCTTAACGAAGAATTTCTAATTTTTTCTAAAGAATAACGTTACTTCGGCGAGATTGTTAATAAAGAATATCTAATCTTTTTTAAAAAATAATATTACTTCGGCGAGTTTTCTAACGCGAAGTTTTCTAACGCGGAGTTTGCTAACGAATACGTTATCGTTTTTTCTTATATTCTTTTATTAGATTAAAAGCGTTATCGAGATTCTTAACGTTATATTATCTATCGAACTTAGAATTATATCTCTTTTAGCGTATTAAATACTCTATAACGAATTCTTTTTCTTTCTTAATAATTCGCTTATTAAGTAATCGCTTAATCTTATAATTTATAATATTATTCTTATTAATAGAGACTAGCGAAATATACTATAAGCGAGATCTATAAAAGAGATTATCTTATAAACTAGAAGCTAGCTCTAGCTAAGCTATTATAAAAATTAAATAAACTCGCTAATCTTTAGAAACGATAAATTTATATACTAGCTTATTAACTCTTTTAAGAATTTTAAAAAATCTTATATATTACTAGATAAGCTTCTTAGTAATTTTTAGAGTAAAGGAAATCTTATAACTTTTATAGAGGCGAGATAATACTTAGTTCTTAATCTTAAGAAATATTAGTTAATATTAGTAATTATAGTAAAATTTATTCGATATTTAAATAAAATCGACGACGTTCTTAACGATAATATATATCGTAATATAATCGATTTTTAATAAAAGGCTTAGTAGGTCTAGAGATCTATTTAATATAAATTTATAGATTACTTTATTATAAAAGATTCTAATACTTATTAAATTATTTAAGATTATTTAAATATAATAAAGAATTTTAGATTATATCGATAGATTATTAAGTATATAAACGAAGTATTTTAAGACTATTTCGATTATCTAATTTATATATTTATTAATACTATTAATCTAAAAAAAAAATTAAAAAATCGAGTAAAGTAAATCTATATTAAGAATCTTAAAAAGTTCTACTTATAATTTCAATAAGAACTTCGAATTATAATCTAAGATTAGAATTCTAGAAATACTTTAATTAACGATA